GGCACATTCGATGGCAGGGGCAATGAAGGAAGAGCAAGGAATGTTGGCAGACGTCAGGGGAGGAGAGGGAGCACTTATTAGTGTCCTCTGCAGAAGAAACAGCGGGTCGTCATTCCTCTTCCTGACCTTGGCTCAGAGATTATGGGAACAAGGAAGCTAGGCAGACGGAGAGGCAGTGACTGGTCAGCAATACTCAGAAGAAAGTGGGAATGATTACAAGCCCAGGGTATGAGGTTACGAGGCGGTGCCGCCTAATGGTTAGCAGCTCTGCCCCTGGAACCAGAGAGTCGAGTTTGAGTCCTGACTCAGCCATGTAAGAGCTACATGACCAAACCATTTTGATCCTGTGTTCTCATCTGCAAGAAGGGAATAACGTGAGTTTACGTTTGTTGAATTGTCACAGAGCAAAGCAACGAAGAAAACGCTCACCACCAGCTTGCCACTGGACCTTGGCATTCATAGGCTTCCTTTGCACCCTGCTTAGCCTAGAGCCCAGGAAGGCTGGTAATGTTCCAGCTAGGACATTGCCCATTGGGAGGGACAGAACGCCAAGTAAGCTGAAACACAAAAGAAATTGAGCTACAGAAGATAGCTCAGGGATAGTGTGGATTTCAGACCAAGTGGCTCCCAGGGTTCAAATGATAGCTCAGGGCTCCAATCCAGTCCTTGTCTCTGGACTCCGGTCTCCTCTGTGCTGGGTCATCGTCGGTTAGAGTTGCCTCGTGGTGGCAAGGTGGCTGCCAGCAGCTTCGAGCACATTTCCTCTCTTCTCGACGACAGCAAGTAGAGAACGCCTTTCTCAAGTGTCGCAGCAAAAGTGCCAAGGCTGATTCTGGCCACCTGACTTGCCCTGAGCCGGTGTGGCCAGGTGGATGGAATATATCTATCGGCACTTATGAGCCATAGCTTACCTGGGAGTCTCAGACCCAAGAGGTATTGAGGTCCTGCTGAGCCACGTGGACAAAGGACAGGAGTGACTGTAGACAGGGAGTGGACACTGGACGGGCACAAAGAACTGATGTCTACACGTGAGCAATTCGGTCAATGCAACATCAAATATAGGCCAAAACGGTCCAAAAGAGACAGGAGGAGGCAGCTGATGAATAGCTGGTCTGTCTTCTTCCCCCCCACGCCCCAGCAGCGGATCAAGCCACTAGAGAAGTGGGGCCAAGGCCTCCTACTTCCTGAGGCAGCCTCAGTGGCGCTGACAGGAACCCCCGTTTGTCTCCTTTGGGTTGCTCTACACCACAGCAAAGTCACCGGAAATGGATCCTGAGCTGGGTTTTGGAAGTTCCGCTGGCCTGGCCCGCCGATCTGCCAAAGTGCATTGTATGTGCTTTATTAATGTCCACAGAGTCTTTCTAAAAATTATTTCAGAAACGATGCGATTCCCCTTCATGGGGTTAGTTCCCTAGGGCAGACCTTCTGCCTCATGGACTCGAGACCACACCTCCTTCCTTTCCCCCCGTCCTCCCATTCGCTCTCCCTGACCCCTTGCCTGGTTTAATGCTCCCACCCTTCAAAGGAGAGCTTTCGAGACTGCGTCATGGACAACCAGCTCTGATTTTGCTCGGTATCTGAACCCCCTTTACAATAAATTACGTCATATGTTAATTCAGATTACTTTGACTTGGATTTAAATGAATAATTTAGAAGGAGTTTGCTATCACTACCACGAGAAAAGGCAGTATTGCTTGCCACAAAACAAACAAACAAAAAACTGTAAGATTCAGTGCATTGGAAATAAAGTGTCACAAAACCCAGCTTGATTCTATGGCCTGGAAAGCTCTAGGTCTGTGGCCTGCTCTCCCTCCATACAAAAAGGAATTCACAGGGAACTGATATTTTAATTCCAAGGAAAGAGATAACAATTGTTATGATTAGAATGTCCCCGTCTGTGGAAACCCTAATCTCCACAGTGCTGTGCTAGGAGGTGATTAGGTCATGAAGGTGGGGCCCTCCTGACTCAGATTAGTGCCCTTCTAAAAGGGGCCCAGGGATCCTTGCCCTTTCCCCCAGGTGAGGGCACAGCCAGAAGGCACCACCGATAAATCAGAAGGCAAGCGCTCAACGAGCTTCCCCACTCGGAGTTCCAGGTCTCCAGAACTGTGAGAAACAAATTTCTGTTATGTATAAATTACCCAGTTTATTTTGTTTTAGCAGCTAGAGCAGACTAAGATAATAATTGTGACCCAAATTCTAGTCCAGTAGGAGTAGAAGATATTCTAATTTTGGGTTTTTCTAATTTTTGAAACACAAAACACACACACACACACACACACACACACACACACACGAAACAGAAGCCCTCCTGTAGATCCTTGCCTTACTAACTAGTATGAGACCTTAAAAGATGGAATTCTGGGCCAGCCTGTAGCCTGGTGGTGAGTGCAGCTGGATTCCATATGGTTACCTTGTGGTTCAAGTCCCAGACCTGACGGCTCAAATAACACACTAGGTGTGTGTGTGCACATGCTCAAAATCCTGGAGGAGGGAGAGATGGAGGAGGAGGATTGTGGCATGACCTTTCTGTGCATGTGTGTGTGTTGGGGGGCTTTCTCCCTGCCCCTCTAGGTCTCTCTCTGGTGAGTGCATGCACTCTGGCAAAATTAAATATGTGTGTGTGTGTGTGTGTGTGTGTGTGTGTGTGTGTGTGTGTAGGCATGTCCTTTACTCTCTCCTCTTTTCTGCACTTTGACTTAGATTCAAGAGCTGGGCAGGAGGTGGGGGAGGAGGGTGAAGAAACCTTGGCATCAGCTTCAGTTCTGGGGGCTTGGGTGCTACTCTAGGTCCTCTGACTCTGTGACAACTGCCTGAAACATAGTGGGCAAGGTAGGCATTCATTATGGGGGAATTCGGACAGGACGGAAAGGGCCAGCGAGTCCTCGCCAGAATCTCTGAGGGTCATCCCTTTGGCTGTTGGCGTGGCCTCGGTTCCTCTTCATGTGGACTTACTTGGGCGTCCTCACAGCGTGGTGGCCGAGTATCCCAGCCATCGGGGGCAGCGGTTCTGCCTTTCACGGCTGGCCTCAGACACACTCACCTGCCGCTTCCGCGGAGTGCTAGTTTTTGAAATTGACCATTAAGGCAAGAGGGACCTAGGTGTGGTATCCAACCCCACCTTTTCAGAGGTTTTGCAGGTAAGCTTTAAATCCACCACCAGTTCCCTGAGAAATGGGAAGTGACTTGAGGCCCTCAGACATGTATACTTGAGATAGAGACAGGGAGAGCCTTCCCTCCTGAGGCTCTGGAAGCCTAAGAAAGAGGTACGGGGCTGCAGGTCATTTCCCATTGAGTGACAGTTGTTGAATGCGCGAACTTGGCCCGCAGAGAGAGGAACCTGTCTCTCACCGAGGCCACCTCTCCCGAGTGGGTCTGTGACAAGCTGGGCACCCCAGGACCGCTAGCCCAGACCTTGGTTGACTTTGCACCCCACCCATCCCCACCTGCCTGCTTGGAGCTCCTGGGAGAGGCAGGGAGCCGCCACCTGCCCATGAGTCACTGTGCAAAGTACGCCCAGGCCTTGGCAAGCAGCCGCGTGCAAGGCAAGTGTCATTAGTGAGCACA